CCGGCGGCCCCGCCCGTCCGCCCGGCCCGGGGCTGCTCGGCCCGAGGAGAGCCCAGCGGACCCGCGCGGTGCCGGTACCGGGGCCCGCGGGCGGAACCGGGGCTGGCGGAGCACGGAGCGTGGCCCGAGCCCCCCGCGCGCTGCGGATGGTGCGGCCCGAGCCCCCCGCCCCCCCCGCGGGCAGCGGTGGTGCGGCCCGGGCGGTCACGTGAGCGGGTGTTGATGCGTTGCCTGGCAACGGGAACATGGCGGAGCCGCCGCGGGTGAGTCCGGGCCGGGCCGGGCCGGGCCTGCCCTGCCCTGCCCTGCCCGTCCGGGGCTGCTCCGCCCGCCCGCACCGTACCGTACCGTACCGTACCGTGCCGTACCGTGCCATCCCATCCCGGCACCGCCCATCCGCCCCACTGCTCCCCGGATCGCCCCTCTCGTCCCCTCCCGTCCCGGTTCCGTCCCCTCCACCACGGCCCGGTACTGACCGGTCCGGTTCCACTGCAGCCCGGCACTGCCCGTCCCTTGCACCACCGGCCCGGTACCTCCCGGTGCGTGCCCCGTGCCCAGTCCCGCTGCTCACCCTCTCTTTAAAGAGAAAGAGAGAAAGAAGAACGAAAATAATTTGGCTACATGTTGTGCTGGCTGGATGAATTTCTTTAATAAATCTCTAAGGGATTGTTTTTAATAGATTCGAACTGGAAGCACGTGGAGCTGTAAGTGGTGTGGAGAAGTTTTGTCAGGATTTTTGTGATCTCAGGGCTTGCTGGGTGACTATTTTTGTAAATGAGATTACACTTCTAAATTAAACTTCTGAGCCCTGTGGCAAAAAATACCACAGCATTAGAATTGAATGCAAATGGCAATGTGCTGCTCTGCTTTCCACCTGTGCAGTGTGCCAGGCCAGGGAAGATTGGGAATGACAATGGAGAGGCTGTTCCTCTGGAGGAGTCATTGCCCTGCAGAAGGAGAAGTCTGGCTGCAGGGCTGTTCGTGGGCTCTGCGCAAGTGGGACACTGTAATTACATTTTGGGAGTGCTGCCTGTAGAGCCAGGCCCTTGTGCTGATCCTTTGCTTGCATTGTTCATGTCTCATGATGAAAATGAGCAGATGTGTAGGGGTAAATAGAGTTAGCTGGAAAAGGGGTTTTATGTTTCAGGGAAAACCCCCTGAGGTGTTCCCAGACAATGCAGGATGTGACCAACCTCTGTCCCTCTGCACAGGGTGACATGGAGCAGCCACGGCCAGGTGGAGGAGCCTCTCCCCTTCCCTCGGGAGCACCTGCAGCAGAGCCAGGTACCCCCAGTGCCTGTGCCCAGCTCTGCAGCACAGCCTCTGCTCTTCTCCCTTTCTGGTCGTTGTTAATCCAGCCAGAGGCACGAGGCTATGAAATCTAATGCTGTTGCTTTGGCTTTTTCCTTTTCTGTGGCCCAGGGAGCGAAGCAGGACCCAGCTCTGGCCATGCAGGGCCGAGCTCTGAGCTCCCCAGTGATCATGGCAGCCAAAGAAAGGAGAGGGCAGCTGAGGAGCCTGAGAGAAGAAAACGGAGGGGGAAGAAAGGAGAAACAGAACTGGTCATCCTGGACCCAGAACATGTGAGAAGTCTTCCAATCTTGCTGTTCTTTGCAGGGTTGGTGTTTGTGTTTCTCTGAAAAGTGTGAGGTGTAAGCAGTGGCTGTTCAGCTGCACGTGTGAAAATCAGTTTTGCCAGAGTATTAAGTGCTGGCTGTGTCACTCAGTCCTGGCCCCAGAGCTGCAGGTTCAGCAGCAGTGGGTAAATCTGATCCCTGCAGTGCCCCTGAAAGAGAAGTCCTTGCAGCAAGAGTGAGCAGGTGGGTTCTCAGATGTAGCTCTTCTGGCATGGTTCTGATTTTCAAATATCCTCACTTTTTGGCATCAGCAGAAACCCACTCTGTAACATCTCTCACTTGCTGCAGGGAGTGTAGCTAAAATAAGCACACAAGTCTGTGGCAGAAATAAAATGTTTTATTGGGTGGGGGACGTAGCAGTGAGGCTTCTTCATAACCTATTTACACAAGTATGTTAAAGCTTATTAATACTTATTATTAAAGCTTATTATTAAAGCTTATTATTATGTCCTTCTTTACAGCCCCTGATGGCAAGATTCCAGGCTGCCCTGAAGAATTACCTGACCAAGCAGATAGAACAAGTGAACCTAGACCTCCATGAAATGGTACAGAGCCCCTCCTTTGCCTCCCCAGAGCCCCTGCTGTCCCAGCTGCTGGCACACAGCTCCTCCCCTCTTGTGTCTGCAGAGATCAGCCATGAAGAGCAGCAAGGAGCAGAGAGAAGAGCTGGGGGTGATCCTTTACGGGGCCCAGCAGCAGCTGGGGCAGCTGGAGGAGGAGCTGGCGAAGAGCCACGAGCGCTGGTGGCAGGCGGCCCTGGCGCGGCAGCAGCTGGAGGAGGAGCTGCAGGGCCTCAGGGCTGCCCACAAGGAAATGTGTCACAACACGGAGGGTGAACGCAAGAAAGGTGACAGAGACAGTCCTGGCAGTGTTTCCCAATTCTAGGGCTGTGTGGAGAAATGAATTGGAATTTAAGGCAAGCGCTGGATTGAGAAATGCAGCAAAATAATTAATCAGGAATAATGCACTCATTGAAAAGTTTCATGGATTCTCCTGGAATTCTGTGAGCTGGGAGTCCAGGAATTACTTGCCAGGATCTGTGGTTGTGGAGCTGTACTCCAAAGCTGATGTAAATGTGTGTGCTGGGGAGGGCTGGTTATCTGATGTGTTAGAGGTTTTGCTTCAGGAGCTTCTGTATTTTTTTCTCTTTTATCTCTGTTTAAGGTGTACCCTACAAACAAACTTCTCTGTAACTGTTTTGCCTCTTGTCCCCCCAGTTTCTACAATGCAGACCCAGGTTGAAAACCTGGCCTTGGAGCTCTTCTATGTGCAGAACATGGACCAGGACATGCATCACAGGCTTTTACTGATGAAACAGTCAGCAAAGAGGGCTGAGGCAGAGAGGATCCAGGCTGAGGTGGAAAAGAAAAAACAGGTACCAAGAAAAGCTGTCTTTGAAAGAAATAAATGCAGGTGCCAGCAGTCAGTCTTGGAGGATGTGCCACCTTGTTAGGAGGAAGGCTACAGCGATTGAATAATAGAAAATGAGTGGGGATATTTTTCTCAAATAATTGAAAAAAAAATCCAGAGGCTTTTCTGAAAAGGAGGAGAAGCCCTGCCTGCCCCAGGACAGCAACACTGCAAGCCTTAGGACAATGAATTACTCTTCACTCGAGGAGAAGGGGTGTGGGGGAAGGAGGATATTTTGTGAAGAAATATCGTGTGTACAGGTCTTGAGAATGATTCTGAATCTCAGAATTTCACAATGGAAAGTGAACTTTGGGAATAAGCAGAGCCAGTCGGTGCTGGAGCTCCCTCTGCTGCCTTCCAGGACACAATCCGCGGGACACTGCTCGTGCAGAATTCTGTGCAAGCTGTTGAAATACAGTGGGTTCAGGAGGGTTTTAACAAAGGATTTTTAAATATACATTATTAACATTCCCACTAGCTGGGCAGGTGAACTCAGTGCTGACAGGAGGGATTGTGGCTTCAGAGCTGACCTATCAATTTACTGCTGCAATTGCAATAATAAACAGTCAGCAAAGGTTTCATTCTCCTGCAACTCATCCCTGCTGCAGTCCTGAGCCATTTGTGCATGAATGGGAAAGTTTCAGTAGGACTCCAGTCTAATCCAGTTCTAGTTCCATTTTTAGCTGATATTATTCTTGTAGGATACAGTTGGTTTAGACTGAGATTCTGTGACTCACCCTGCACTGTTTGGCTCTGGCTCTGTAGGACCTTTTCCTGGACCAGCTGACAAGGAGAGTCCACCAGCTCCAGGAACAAATTGCTCTGTTTGAAGCTCAGCTTGTGGCCCAGGCAGAGGACACAAAAGTGACCCGGCAGGCCATCAGTGAGGTAGGAGGGGACTTGTCCCTTGGGGTTAATATTTCCCTCTGGCAGGGCTGACCCCTTTGGCCCGTGCTCACATGGTGTGCACAATGTGGGACAGTTTCACAGTTTGTTCCTGTTTGGAAGAATGAGGACTTTTTTTTCTTTTCCTTTGTCCTTAAGAAGTGCCTGTAAATCACTTCCTCCTGCCCTTCTCAGCAGTTTTTTCATGCAGACCTGTGCTCTGTGGGCTGCTGAGAACTGAAACAGCCACAGAGTTGAATCTGATCCTGCTCAGCACATTATGAACAGGAAAAGAAAAAAAATTATATTGTAACACTTTTTTTTTTTAACACGGTGTAGATTCATCCTGTCTGCCCTCTCTCTGTTCCCCAGGCTGGTCTGGAGGTCCAGGCTATTAACATGGAGAAAAAGAAGCTGATGGACCAATGGAACAGCAGCTTGGCTGGAATGAAGCAGAGAGATGAGGCCTATGTTGTCACTCAGGAGCTGCTGAGGTATGGTCTGAAACCAGGCCCTGAGGACACCTCAGATTTGGGCAGGAGGGATTCTAGAAGGGGATTCCAGTGGGGTTTAGTCTCCTGTGGGTTGTAGCACTGTGTGGGCAGGGCGTGCCAGGCAGAACAAGTTCCCTGCTCTGAAGTACGTAATAAATTCAAAGGATGAGAAGCACTTTTCTTTGTTGCCGTTTTCTTTATCCTAACCGCATCTCTCCCTCGGAATGTGGGGAGTTCTTGAAGCTGCTTAGAGCTTTTATGATCGTGTTTTATTCCTTTAAAAGAGTTCTCTCACCTTTGCAACATTTCTTACTCCAACGACTTGGATGTCAGGAAGGGTTTATCTCTCACCAGAGTTTTGTGAGGCCTTTG